GACCATTCTGGTCAACAAGGTGAAACCCCGTCTCTACTAAAAATACAAAAAATTAGCTGGGCGTGGTGGCATGTGCCTGTAGTCCCAGCTACTTGGGAGGCTGAGGCAGGAGAATTGCTTGAACCCAGGAGGCGGAGGTTGCAGTGAGCTGAGATTGTGCCGCTGCACTCCAGCCTGGCGCCTGGCAACAGAGTGAGACTCTGTCTCAAAAAAATTTAAAAAATAAAATAAATAAATAAAATCACAAATATCTTTCATCACTTTAAAGTGGGAACATGTAGGGAAAACATATAATGGAGAAAGGTAATTTTATTTTTTTTCTTCAGGTGCAGTTGGTCATGCCTGCTTTGGGAGGCCAAGGCGGGCAGATCTCCTGAGGTCAGGAGTTTGAGACCAGCCTGGCCAACATGGTGAAACCCTTCTCTACTAAAAATTCAAAAATCACCCAGGTACGGTGGTGCATGCCTGAAATTTTGACTACTCAGGAGGCTGAAGCAGGAGAGTCACTTGAATCTGGGTGCCAAAGGTTTCAGTGAGCTGAGATCTCACCACCACACTCCAGCCTGGGCAATAGAATGAGGAGAAAGAGAGAAAGGGAGGGAGAGAGAGAGAGAGAGAGAGAGAGAGAGAGAGAGAGAGAGAGAGAGAGAGAAAAGAGGCATCAAAAGAAAGAAAGAGAAAAAGAGAAAGGAAAAAAAAGGCATCATGCTACCTGACTTCAAACTATACTACAAGGCTACAGTAACCAAGTCAGCATGGTACAGGTACCAAAACAGACATACAGACCAATAGAACAGAATAGAGACCTCAGAAATAAGACCACACATCAACAACCATCTGATCTTTGGCAAATCTGACAGAAACAAACAATGGGAATGGATTCCCTATTTAATAAATGGTTCTGGGAAAACTGGACAGCCGTATGCAGAAAACTGAAACTGGACCCCTTACACCTTATATGAAAATTGACTCATGGTGGATTAAAGACTTAAATGTAAAACCCAAAACCATAACAACCCTAGAAGAAAACCTAGGCAGTACCATTAAGGACATAGGTAAGGGCAATGTCTTCAGGATGAAAACACCAAAGCAATTACAACAAAAGCCAAAATTGACAACTTGAATCTAATTAAACTAAAGAGCTTCTTCACAGCAAAAGAAACTAGCATCAGAGTGAACAGGCAACATACAGAATGGGAGGAAATGTTTGCAATCTACCCATCTGATGAAAATCTAGTATCTAGAATCTGCCATGAACTTAAACAAATTTACAAGAAAAAAAAAACACTATCAAAAAGTGGGCAAAGGATATGAACAGACACTTCTCAAAAGACATTTATGCTGCCAAACAAACATATGGAAAAAAGCTCAACACCGTTGATTAGAGAAATGCAAATCAAAACCACAATGAGATACCATCTCACGCCAATTAGAATGATGATCATTAAAAAGTCAGGAGACAACAGATGCTGGAGAGGATGTGGAGAAATAGGAACACTTTTACACTGTTGGTGGGAGTGTAAATGAAATGTTCAACCATTGTGGAAGACAGTCTGGTGATTCCTCAAGGATCTAGAACTAGAAATACCATTTGACCAAACAATCCCATAAGTGGGTACATACCCCCAAAAATATAAATCATTCCACTATAAAGACACATGCACACATGTTTATTGCAGCACTATTTACAATGGCAAAGAAATGGGACCAACCCAAATGCCCATCAATGATAGACTGGATAAAAAAAATGGCACATATACACATGGAATACTATGCAGCCATAAAAAAGAATGAGATCATGTCCTTTGCAGGGACATGGATGAAGCTGTCCTCAGCAAACTAACACAAGAATAAAAAATCAAACACCACATGTTCTCACTCACAACTGGGAGTTGAACAATGAGAACATGTGGACACAAGGAGGGGAACATCACACACTGGGGCCTATTGGAGAGTAGGGGGAAAGGGGAGGGAGAGCATTAGGACAAATACCTAATGCATGAAAGGCTTAAAACCTAAATGACAGGTTGATAGCTGCAGCAAACCACCGTGGTACATGTATACCTATGTAATGAGCCTGTGCGTTCTACACATGTATCCCAGAACTTAAAAAAAAAAAAAGAAAAAATATTGGGTGTACACCAGTAGAGACTTATTCTATATCCCTCAAATTATATCATGTGAGCAGGTACATATGGTGTCTGCCCTGGAGTGTAGACAAAACCCTGTGAAGTCCATCTGGAGTTATAAAAGCCCTGGGCCAATAAACTCAGTTTCTCCTCCCAAAGATCTTTCATTTAGCACAATCTTCCCCTCCACGAGGCCCAGATGACATAGAACAATGTTAAGAGAACCATGTGAAGCTGAAGGAGATGATGACTAGAAAGCAAAGCAGACTGAAAGTATTAAAAATGCACTTCCACAGACTAAGTAATGACAGGGAAACTGTTTTACTGCAGTTTTGTATTCATATGATGTTGGTGAGAGAAGGCAAATCAGTGCAATAAAAAGAGAGATTTCATATTACGGTTTTTTCACCAAGGACAACAGAAAATAATGTCGGATTTCTTTATTCATTTTAATTCAGCAATCACAGCTTCTTTCAGTCCGGGGAAAAAGCATGTTCTAGAAAAAGGCCTAAGCTTTACCCTTTGTTATGCCTCCTTCTTTCTGCCAAATTCGTGTTCTCTACTAGACTGACAGTTCCACAATTGTGAGGACTGGGCATGTCTTCTTTCGCCCTGTGAGCCTGGGACAATGCTTGGCTCACAGTAGGTGTTCAATAAACGTGTTAAATAAATTCATGTTCCAGCACTGCGGTTTTGTGTGAATCGTGAGACCGATGAAGATGTATTAGAAACTACATTCAAGGAGAAGTGGGGAGAAAAGAAACTACATTCAAAGTAGGCAAGGGGGGATGCTCTTCTCCTCCTATGCATATAGTACTGAATGCAATATTGATGGATATAGATGATTAAAAAGTTCAGGGAGGGAAGGGCCTTAGATTACAGCAGTCGGGAGAGAAGAAAAAAGGAAGGATAAGAGTAAGCTTTTCTTTTTAAGATATTTTCATTAGCTCAAAGCAGACACAAAATTAAAAACCATATTTTTCCTTAAGGTAAGAATATATATATATTTTGTAGACAAGGTCTCATTCTGTCACCCAGGTTGGAGAGCAGTGGTGTAATCACAGTTCACTGCAGCCTTAACCTCTTGGGCTCAAGTGGTCTTCTCAACTCAGCCTTCCAAGTAGCTGGCACTACGGGAGCATCACCACACCCTGCTATTTTGTGTGTGTGTGTGTATGTATTTATTTATAGAGATAGAGTCTCACTATGTTGCCCAGGTTGGTCTCAAACTCCTTAGTTCAAGTGTTCCTTCTGCCTTGGCCCCCCATAGTGCTGGGATTCCAGGTGTGAACCACGGCACTGGGCTGAAAGTCAGAATATTTGAATATATTTTAGATATAGAAAGCAGATTAATTCAGGCAAATGCCGGAAGCAGGGATGAGCAGATAAAGATGTCAGAATGACACAGTTTACAAGTGTTATACACAATCAATGCTGTGATTGCAGCATAGATTAAGGCAAACAACATCGCAACTGAAAGTGAATTCTGTAAATAGGGTAACTCTCTCTGTTCTGAAAGCCCCATAGATGCAAAAGTTTATTCAAGGAACTAGTAAACCGTGTTTGTTTCTTTGTTTTCGTATTTCCTGTGGCTCTAAGAAGGCAATGTAATAAATAGGAAATCGCTGTTTTGGTTTTTGTTTATCCCTGTTCTCACATCTGGAAACTGGAAACCAATCATACTCCTGGTGACACAGCCTGAATATGTCACTCAATGTGGAACATAGATTAAAATAAGAGGTGATAAGCTGGTGTTTATTTGATCACAGAACACGGAAAGTTAGAGGTAGAAGGGTTCTTAGAGATCACTCAGTCCAACACCCCCATCTTTTTCACTTAAGGAACCTGAAGCTGAAAGAAGTGTTGAAGATTGCCCTTTGTCCCTGAGTATGCATTTGGCATTTTGACATATTTGTGTCTCAAAGAACTCTGATTCCTCAAACTTGCTGATCACCAGGAGTGATAGAGGTTGCCTTACACACTTTTACGTATCATACAGACATGATGTGTCTTCGAAGCATGGAGTTAAAAATAAAATAATATTACCCCCAAACTTACTTGGTTCTGGGGTTGACAACAGTAGGGGATTGGGAAAGTATCATCTGGTAGCTGGCATTTAATGTGACTTATAAAAAAGAAAAGCTGCATTATTGCTGTGTAACTGTGAAGCAGAGGACATACATGTCTACCATGGAGTCTTCCAGCATGAAAGTACAACAGAGAAAATAGCTGCCTGGACCTGTCACTGAGTCTGCAGCTGGTCAAGCCCAACCATTCCCCTCTTGGGGGCTTTCCTGCTAGTATCTTGTTCCCCAGCTCTCAGGTGCTCTGCCTAGCCATAAAAGAGTGCTAAGGGCAGGAGAATTTTAGCTCCTTCTCCCATCAGGAAAGCAAATGGACTCCCTGAAAGAAAAACAAGTATGTCAAATTTATCAAAGGTAGTGACTTGTTATGGGGATCCCGAGTTCCTTAGAGGTCTGCCGAAGAGTGGAACAATTTTCAGTATTTCAAATGGAAATCACACATTGAGCCACAAGGCTACACAGACTAAGTATAGCATCAAGTTTCTTTCCTTTGGCTTAAATTCTGTCACTCCATGGGATTATCTCAGGCTTATCAGGAGCTCTGGAGAGTGGTTAAAGGTACCTTAGATAACTAAAAATAAAGAAATCATTACCCATTAGATGAAAATCAGATCCCTTGAAAGACAAGATGAAATAATAAGAGGGATTTCTGTGGGTATGAGAAAGACCCAGAAGTAGCGGTTTTAAACCAAAGAAAACTTTATATCCACGTTTCTCAAAAAAATTGAATAAGAGAAACCCCCTCCCCTGCTCCAGCTCTCCCCTCTGGCCCATGACAATCACTCACTGGGCAGGGCAGGGAGGTTTTCCTGTGACTGGTGGCTTGTGGTCGGTGGCGTTCCCGGAGTCCTCTCTGATCCTCTTCTCTCCAGCTGTGGCCCCAGAAGCTGCTCATCCATTTGGCAAAAGACACATCATCATCATCATCATCTTTGTGCTCCATATAAAGGTGATGCCAAATATTGAAGGCCTGTTCCTAAATCTGACAGAAGGAAATATCACCCAACAGGGCTGGCAATGAAACCCAGGATCTCCCCCAAAAGACAAAATGAAACTGGTATTTTAAAATGGTCTCCGATGCTGGCATCCTTAAAGGAGAAAGATTTACTAAACAACCACTTCATCATCAGGCAGCCTTGGGCAATGTCTATTTATAAATTGTGCAGCCCACATTCCCCTCCCCCTTGTCTTTTTAAATTGAGAGGCTTTCTAATCCTTCCATTGCTGGGGCTTGTGCCTTGCAGCCAAAGGGTGGGAAGCAGAGTCCACTGCCTGGTTTTCCCTGTGCTTTGCTGCCAATGGCATGTGATGGCATCTCCAGCTGTCAATGATGATGAAGCATGACCCTCACAATATGCCTGTCAGCTCCAGGCAAGCTCTGAAATGGGGCCACATACAAGGAACAGACTGACCACAGCTTGCAAGATAGCCAGCTGCTGCCAAGTCTTATCTAGAGCTAGATACTCTCCTAATAAAATGATACTGATATAAAATCCAGCTCCTGGATCAAAAAGAGTAGTTTTTTTAAATTGAGGCATTACTTATACATGTACAAGTGTAAATAATATACATGTACAAGTAAAAGGTACAAACCATTAGTGCACAGCTTGATGAATTTTTATGTATGTACCACAGGGTAGTAACCCCTGTGTTACCAGCACCATGCAGGTAAAGAAGTAGACCATTTCCAGCACCTCAACTGGCTCCGTGTAGCCCTCTTCCAATCCATACTCCCTTCAAAAGGTTACCATTAATGATCTCTGTCACCATAGATCCATTTGCTTGTTTCTGAACTTACTTTCAGTGGCATTATACAGTATGCATTATCCTGTGTTATTCAACATTATGTCAGTGAGATAGATTCACGTTTTTGCAGTAACAGTAGTTGATGCTGTGTGTAGTGTTGATGCTGTGTGTAGTGTTGATGCTGTGTGTAGTGTTGCATTGCATCAACACGCCAAAAATTTTTTTAAATTCGGTCTATTAAGTGATGGTCATTTTAGGCTGTCATTTAGGTTATTTCCAGTTGGGGCTTTTATAAATAAAGTTTCTGTGAATTTTATAGTCCCTGTCTTTTAGTGAGCATTTTTTCCAAGGTAAAGAGATTATTACATTATGGAACTCCGACTCTGCATCAGGTATGGATCCAAATATTTCATTTATGCTCATTTTCTTATAACAACCCTGTGACTGGGAGATTTGTATGACATTTTATTGATAAGGGAGTTGAGATGCAAATAGATCACCCCTTGCCAAAGTGAAATTAGTACTAAGCAGCAAAGCCAAGTTTGAAGCAGGGAATAGAAAAACGAAGCCCAGGCTCTTATCGCCATTCTGCCAGTATTCCAAGAGAACTTGGAGAAGTCTTGCATTTCCAAACAGGAATTCTTGGTCATTTGCCATATGAAAATCCTTCCCTGAGCTGCAAAAAGACAGGCTTGGTAACTGTGACCAAAGTTTGCAGAGCATGGGATCACAATTTTTATGTTACTAAGGAAACATAGCCAAAGGTTAACATGTCTTATAACATTTGTATTTTTGCAAACGTCCATGACTTCCTGTGCTATGACAACTCATTGCTGGAGGAATTAAGCACATCCTGTGGGACTTCACTGGAACAGGACATTTTGAAAGAGTGTGCCTAATTTCCTCCAGACTGCACCCCATATGCCTTTTCCATTTTCCTTCTCAGTTTTACTTTGTAGCCTTTCAACATAATAAATCTTATCCATGAGTACAACTATATGCTGAGTTCTAGCAAATCTCCAAACTGGGGATGACAGCTGCTATGAGAAGTGGGATTTGCTAAAACAACCCAAACCACTGAAATATGGCTAAAGCAGAGTTTGGGAAAAGGAAGGATGAAGAAGACATGATGGTCAACCTTCAATGCCCAGTCGCTACCTAGCCGTCTGTAGTGTGAATTAGCTGCTGAGATGATGTCTGCTATGAGAGGTAAAAGTTACCTATAGAATTCGAAATGATGGGTCCAACCCCAGGACAATTGGTTCGTTAGATTCCCTGGCTGCTTTCAGCCATGGGTTGCTACAATGAAAAGATTAAAAAGCGCAGCCTGGCTGATGCCTTTGAGTTTTGTTCTCTCCTCTAGATGAGAAGAGAAAGTGCCCGAACATTCCCAAAACACATTTTGCATGGGCCAAAAATGTTAAAAGTTTGCATTGCTTTCTCCTCCAAGCAGGAAGGAAGAGAAAGCAATGCAAACTTTTTTTTTTTGAGTTGGAGTTTCTCTCTTGTTACCCAGGCTGGATGGAGTGCAATGGCGCAATCTCGGCTTACTGCAACCTCCACCTGCTGGGTTCAGGCAATTCTCCTGCCTCAGCCTCCTGAGTAGCTGGGATTACAGGCACGTGCCACCATGCCCAGCTAATTTTTTGTATTTTTAGTAGAGACGAGGTTTCACCATGTTGACCAGAATGATCTCGATCTCTTGACCTCGTGATCCACCCGCCTCGGCCTCCCAAGTGCTGGGATTACAGGCGTGAGCCACCGTGCCCGACAGCAATGCAAACTTTTAAGAGTTTTGTTAAGGCAGTTGCAAGAGCTGGAACAAGACTTTAGATAAACCAGCAAGAAAAGAGAGGGAGGAAATAATACTCCATCACCTAGTACAGCAGACCCTTGCATTCCAACCGGGAATCTCCCAGCAGCTATAATGTAAATCATATGTGCTGAATTTACTACTTTACTATGAGGAGTTTGAGTAAACCTGCAATGAAAAAAAAGAGAGAATTTTAAAATGGCTTTTACTTTTTGGCTATTGCACCTGGATAGGTGATGAAAAACTGATATAAAATATTACATGCTTATAATTTTATAAATGCTTAAGGGATTACCCCAGTTAGTGAAAGCTACTCCATAAGAAGTGTTAGGAGAATATGCACCTCCTGAATTTTGTTGCTAGTAGATAAATTACAATGTAAACTTGGAGTATTTAAATTCTTAAATCTCCATAACTGATGATTTTTTGCTATAATTTTTGCCTGTTGAAGCCTATGGGAAAAGGTAGACAACATAGGATAGTTCATCTCCACTAGAAAAAATAACCTTTTGAGTTTTGAAGTTATTAGTTTGCTAATAACTTCTTATAGAATCAGGTGTCTGTCTGACCATTGGAGGCTAACGATTTTCCAGCCTCATGTGCATATTTCAGAGTGTGCCAATTGGACTCTAAACCTGACAATATAAAAAGGGCTCAGAAAACATTTCTTGTCACTTGGACTTGGAAAACAGTTGTCTGGCCCTGTATCTTCTTGGCTTTGCTGCTGCTAAAGAAGAAAAGTTGCTAGCTAGTTTGGAATCCTGAATTCATAGATCCTGCCTGCCTGGAGGTTATGCTAAGCTAAAACTTAATACTGTCTGTGTGAGACTGTTTCACTCTCTGAAGACAGGCATAGGCTCAGGGAACAGAACTCAGCCTCTGGGACTACTGCAGGTTTGCTTACAATATTCCTCGGAGGGGCCATAAACTATAAAAACATTCTGGATGCTATCTGGATCACATGGGTCAACTGCCTATGGGAAAGGGCTTGCTCTTTGATAGGACCATTGAAACAGAACTAGTTGCACTAGAAATGATTGATCTCAAGAACCCTCCTGGGGGAGAGCACATCACAGGGAGTGGGACCTCTCCATCTCCTCCTAATAGAGCTCTCGACTCCTTCTGGGGATATCTCACTGCTATTAACTTATGTTCAGCGCCAGAGTATCTTGAAATTTGCAGTGATGGATTGATAGTCTGACTCTTCTTTGCTCACCTCTCTTAAATGCAGCTGTTCCTAGACAGAAATTGATCTTTTCCAGGCTGCTTCTTGAATAAATTATCAGGACAAAAGGGGTGGGGTAATGTAAATACACAGTCTGAAAAATTTTGAAAACTCAGGATTTTGTCCTAGCCCATTCTGGAACATGATGTGCTTTTTCTGGTTATTTCATGAAACAGTGATTTTCTATGTAAATTCTTTTGTCCCTCTTACACTCAACCCTTCCTTCTCTTCCTCATAAAAGGTCTAGATAAGAATAAAAAATTGCTGGGGAAAATGTAATGTTATGATTTCTGAATGAATCATACTGTTGCGTAATAGCAAAGAAAAAAAAAAAAAAACCTGGTACACCTGGGGAGATGCAAGAGAAGGAGGGCATTAATGATCTTTTTCAGAACTGCTCCTGAACAACAGTGTTGCCTTTCCGGGATGCTGTGAAATCAAACTGACTTCTGAGCCTGTGATCACACTCAACAGCACTGACTATGAGACACCAGCTTCTCCAGTTTCCAAGAACACCTCCAGATATTGTCCGCATTTATGAGCCAAGCTGGCAGAAACAAACTGCCTTTGGGCAGACCTTCTAAAACAATGAATTTAGCTGAATGATTTAGACTGGGCAGGGAACCCGAGGGCCGAAGTTCCCACAGTGGGAAGCCACACTGGGGGCTCTGCTAACCTGGGCTACCTGACTAATATATGTTTTTGTTGGGGTAACTGAACTTGAATTCCTTGTTTCTAAGAATACTCTCTGGGATTGTACTTTCTGTGTACCTATTTGGACTATCATGGACTGCCTCCGCCCAAGAAGGCGTGCAGGTCAGCTTCAATTTATTAGCCAGAGATGCGCTGTGCTTCAGGTGATGCCTCGGGCTAGGTTAAAAAAGAAAAAGATTAACACAAAAACTTAAGGAGAAAGACACTTGACTTCCTAAGATTAACCTTTACAGGTAGCGGGATTTGTCTTAATTGGCTAAATCCAGGACCTCTGGATTTTAAGTAAAGTCAGTACTCAGGTTCGTTTCACACTGCGTCATGACACTACCGATAATAATTTTGCTATAAAATGCCTTGACCAAGGAGATCAGCTATACAGAAAATGGTTAATATAGCAGGCCTGAAACTGCCAATCCATAGAAAGACCTGCTTGCAAGGTTGGCCCTGAGCTGGCATCTGGAACTTGGCTGGTAAATCGTTCCTG